GTGTGTGTGTGTGTGTGTGTGTGTGTGTGTGTGAGAGAGAGAGAGAGAGAAGTCCCCCTCGCTGAATCCCATCCTCCCTGCAGAACAACAGGTCGACAAAAAAAATGAAACATCAGGATTTGGGCGCCTCAGGCAGAGCGCAGAACAGTCGTAAGGCCGAACAAAAAGAATAATAAAATTTACTGTTTTTTTTTTTTTTTTTTCACACGCCTGGTTTACTCGGGCGTCGGACCTGCCCAAGCATCATGCCGGGGTGCCCGGCCGGGCGTAACGGTCTGGGCGTGGAAATCTTCCTTGATATTAAACAGTTTCTTAGTTCCAGTCACCAAACACTACAGCGCAGAGTTCAGCAACCCACATCGAGCATCCTTATCTTGGTACGTGACCTCTTCTCTCCCTGTTTCACTTTTTGCTTTATCTCTCTCTCCATTCATGCATGTGTAWCTCTCTCTCTCTCTCTCTCTCTCTCTCTCTCTCTCTCTCTCTCTCTCTCTCTCTCTCTCTCTCTCTCTCTCTCWCTCTCTCTCTCTCCCGAGTTGGCGTACTGTCTCGAACCATTAAAAGCTGCTCTSYYCCGTTGATCAACCTGACATCAGGCGTATTGCGAACAAGGAGATATCTTGCACTGGTAAGATCTTGCCGGCTGCCGTTCATCTGTCCACAAAAGAAACACGTGAAGCATTAATCAGCGCAAAAAGTCGACGCTCCTCGCTCTCGAACTCCTCTGGAGAAAAAACATCCCGCCTGAACCGTCGATACCTGTTGTCGCGAGTTCGACGATGATGATGCACATATGCAAATGGACCATGTCGCTCGTTATAGAGCAAGTGCATTAAAAGGAAAAACCACCTTTGCTTATGGAGTTTTTCCGACGTACGGAGAGCGCTCATCACTGTGCCAAACCAGAAGGTGAGATACTCCGTCACTCCTCTTAGGTGCAAACCCGTAACAAATAATGCACCTCGCAACGTCAGTCTGGAAAAGGCACAGTCGAGAGGGGTTTCTAAAACTCCCTTGCCAGAATCGTGGTCTATCCATCGCAGGAAAGACGATAGACGAATCATAAATCAACTGCCTGGTTCTCACCATGCCAACCCCTTCTTTGCCCGATCCTAGCATCCAATCGTTTGCCTCCTTGCACGTATAGAAAAATGTTGCCACCGCTACAATGTTTGCGATATGGAAAACCCAAACTTTATTAGTAAACACCCATCTTATCTTGAACTGTGAACATTTCTATCCTTTTGTCTCTTTCTCCGTATACCCTTCATTTTTTTACTTGACCTGCTACAGTTTCCTTCACGCGTCGAGGAGTTGTCGCAGGTTGCGCACCTTTTGCCAATAGGTGACTCCATCAAAGGTCTGCCTATCAATGATCTTTAAGCGATTAGCACGGATTCGTTCTAGGAACTCGATGTCATCAAAAGGACCTACTCGAGCTTCGTAGTATAGAATAAGCCTGCGATATAACCATCTAAACTACTGGTCGTACAGTCCCCGCAACTCCTTGTCTTCGAACCCATAAATAATTCGCAGTTCAACCCAATCTGAGCGGTGGGTCCTAACAAAACTTGGTTCAAAAATCTGTAGATGAGTTGAGGCCATAAATAAATAGGTTCGCAACGGGTTTCTCGCCCCATAAATAATTCGCAGGTCAACCCAATTTGAGCGCTGGGTCCTAACAAAACATGGTTCAGAGATCTGTGGATGAGTTGAGGCAATAAATAAATAGGTTCGCGACGGGTTTCTTGCCGTGCCACGATCCATTCTCAATTCTCTCCCTGAAGGGAAGAACACAATGACCGGGTCATAAACCATACGGCCAACCCTTTCTAAGTTCGCTCCACGCAATCCCATTTTACCTACGTGCCTCGCGGCAGCCTCCCTGATTGAAAACAATAC